GTCGGCGCACGGGCAGGAGGTTGAGCGGCCACCGCGACTCATGTGAGCACTTTGCGAAGGAGCGCGTCCCAGTCGCTTCGGCGTGACGCGATGATGAAAACAACTTTTTATATAAAATGAACTCGGGGGCACGGGACGCGGCACAAACGGGGCACAAACGCCAGGCTACAAAGATGGGGAGGCACGTAGTGACGCAGGGGAGTCTAGGCGACGGCGGCGTCCTCCGACGCCGCGGCGAGCCTGAGCTCGGTCGCAATCTCTTCCGCCGCCGCGAGCTGCAGCGCGACTGACATGCGCTGGGCCTGCAGCGACAGCCACGACCGCGTCGACCAGCTCGCCTCAACAACTTTTTTTGCAGGAGATCGAAGGACGACTGGCCAAATACCTAAAACTGTTAAGGGGCAAAGTCGGCTTTCCCAAAAAGGCCTGTTTTCTCGTTTTTCATGCACACCCGGACACAGCCGAGCCTCAGGCGTCCAAATCGGGGGCTGTGGGGTAGACACGGCACCGGAGGCTTGGCCCGGGGGCGAAGTGAGGGGCGGCGAGGGCGATCGCGAGCACCAAGGCGACTTGCGGGAATCACTGCTGCACCGCCAGTGGCGCCAGTCCGACGGCCTGACGGCGACTCATGGACTTTTCACGGGGGGGGAGGCTGCCCACGTGTTGAGTATGACCTATGCGCGTGTAGCGGCTGCCGTATCGCCAGTGTTGAAGTGAATGTTGAAGTTATCTTCCGCTGGGGGCAGCCCGGCAAGGCTACTGCGAGGCCGCAGCAGCAACACACAAATACGGCCGCCGGGGACCAGTGTGGAGCCGCGCGTGCCACCCGCTCTCGGACCAGCCGCAGTGACTGCGCCGCGAGCGCCGCGAGCGTGTCCAGGCTGACAGACAGGCGCAGGCAGCGAAAGCCGAGCGCAGGCGCAGCGGCGCACGCAGCGAGGCACCTGTCAAGCAAGATCCGCACGCCGGGAGCGTCGCTCGGCGTTTTTTGGTTCAATTGAGGCGCGCCACACCAGGTTAAGATTTTTTTCCGCTGGCGCGCTCGCGTCGACCACGACCTCTTCGCGCGTCACGGCTTTGCCGGCCCGTTTCCACCGCTGCTTGCCTCCGTTCCGCGAGCCCGTTCCACGATGGCCTCCCCGCCTTCTGACGATCTCATGGCCGCCATCGCGTGCTGCGATCTCGACCGGCTGCACTCGCTTCTCTCGGACGACACCTTCGATCTGGAGGCGCCGTGGAGCGCGCCGCCCGGCGGCGTCCGCTACCGTGGTCCGCCGATGCTCTTAGTTGGTGCAGAGCACTTGCGGGTGGAGGGCGTGCTGAACCCTGGAGAACCGTGGACGCCGCTGCTCCTCGCGTGTGACAAGGGGCACGCGTCGGTGGTGGAGGTGCTTCTGAGGCACGGCGTCGCGGCGACGTCACGGGATGTGCTTGGCGTGGGCGGGCAGGGCGGCACGCTGCCGATGCTGTTCTACGCGCTCAACTCTTCTGACAACGGCCAATTCACGGACTGCGCCCTCGCGCTGCTGCGTGCGGGTGCCCAGCCCCTCCTCAACTACCAGATCGGGAGCGGTGCGACGGCGCTGCAATTTGCATGCCAGTACAACCGCTCCGCCGCCGTCCGCTTTCTCATCATGA